TACTTACTCAAATAAACTTGAAGTATACTACTTTTTGGTAAGGGTTGCCCAACTGAAGGAGAGATTTGGAAAGAAACTGCTTGAAAACATGCTTGTTGTGCTCATAGGTAGCATTGAAAATAACTTAAGAGAGACCTTTGAAGCTGATAAGACCCTCAAAAAGATTCTAGATGAGTGCAAGGAGACAATTTATGTTTACAGGAGTAATGTGAAAAGCACCGAGCTGGTCGAACAACTTATAGGTCAAAAGAACAACATGCAGGATAAGCAGGAATCTGAGAGCAGCATAAATTATTAAGTGTTTCCTTTAGCCAATTTTACTCATTATCCACAGTTATTCAAAGCCCAACTAAATTATACAGATTCTAGATTACTGCATTAAGACAAACATTTTTACAAAACATGCAATGAAGAAACAAAAAGCCAAGAACAGCTGTTATCTAGCATATAGTGACTCAACGTGTTATACCAGATTTTGGACAAGCCCTTTGTTCTCATGCATTTAAGACAAGTGTATTTTTCACTTTCATTTACTTACAACTGTCATTGAGTGCTAGAGACACGTTCCACTGTTTCTTGTAATACAAGTCAGCATGTTACAACGTAAGTAAAGCCTTTATTAAATACATTTTAGCAAATTTATTTTTTGTAAAATTGTTGATTAAATCACAAGATTACAGAAAGGGATTTCTTCTCAAATATATGTGAATTGCAAATTAATGTTGTAAAGATTGTGAATTAAAGTTATCATAATAAACCAAAGTATCGTTTTCTTATGGCTAGATTTCAAAAAGCTATGAGTTACTCTTGTGATTTGTTATAGTGGAGAATGCAAAGGTGGAGCAATCTGGTGGAGGTGACAAGATCACTTTGGTGCTACTGGGAAAGAACAGCAATAAGTCTATGATAGGCAATGCCATACTAAAAGTAAACCGTTTCATAGCTGGAAACGACACGTGTACAAGAGCTGAAGAAAGAGTAGATAATCAGATGGTCTGTATCATCAACACTCCAGACCTCTTCCATAGATCGCACTCAGATCGAGAAACTGACCATATAGAGGAGATAAAAACCCTATATCCAGGGCCACATGCTTTTCTTCTGGTACTGCAGAACAAACAGCTCTCACACGAAGAGATGGAGATGTTCAGTCAGCTGAAAGTGAGATTTGGAGAGAAAATGGTGGAAAATACAATTGTAGTGCTAGCTGACAGTCAGGAGAAAATGTCTGGAGAACTATATGATCAAGCGGATGAGAATCTCAAAAAACTACTAGACGAGTGTGGACAGAGAATTTGTGTTCATGACAAGAAAAAAGATAATGAGCTGACCATACAGGTAGTGAAAGAATGGAAAAGAATACATGAAAAGCAGGTTAAAGAATTAAGCAACTCCGCACCTGCTGAGAGGTAAGGCACGCACGCGTATGACAGTAGTGATTAAATCAATACATTTTAAAAAAAGATTTTAAGCTTATAATTTAACCTGTAACATCATCTCAATCCTGTAGGATATATGAGGAGATTGATGTATCATATGTAGAAATGAAGCAAATAAAAGAAGCGTCATGGGTGTCTGAAAACAGCAAAGGTATATCTTACAAATTTCTCAGTCATCTAACTTTTCTGTCATCTAAAAGAATATGATCAAATCAACATGCTGTTTTTTTTTTCTTATGTGGCTTTCACATCAATCCAAACTAGTCAAGTGATCTCAATTCACCACAACTATAACTGGCTAGTCAGCCATTGTTTTGGCACGCACTTTGTGTCGCAATGGGTTTTGAACATTGCTTTCAGCAACCACAGCGGTGTATTTGCTCAATGAATTGAGAATGTTTGCATGTTTAAAGTTTTTTTTTTTTTCATTAAATTTGTAAGAAATACCCTAGTAAAATAGTAATACATTTATTTCATACTAAGTATAGTTCAAATCTATTAGCATATTTACTGACAGATAACTCAAGACTTACTGATATAAAAAATTATAATTAAACTTTACTTGGCATATTATTTGTGCACAATGCACTTTTCTTAATATTAAGTCTAAAATGTGTTTTAATGTCACTATTGATGAGGATTGTATGATTTTTGAATAATATCAAGACTTTAAATGCAAAATATTTCATGTGTACCTGAAGTATACTTGCAATAGTTCCACTTTAACACAATAAAATATACTAAATTATATATTTAATTGTACTTCAGTACTACTTCTGCACAATTAAAGTGCATTAAGTACAAAATTA